ATGCCTAACGGATCAGTTTGATGATTACATTACACGGGAAAACTTGCAACAATGCTGCCGTTCAAACTGCTGCTCACAAATCGACCCCCTCTCCCACCGTCAAGGTCTGCAGTTGCATTGTTGTCAGTATGTCTCCCTCTCAGGCACCAGACAGAGGCGTTTTGAGACCACATTGTCAAGGTGCTTGAGCCTCACTTACCTCTTCCCGGTGTTCTTCTGCGACACCACTAATGCGTCACGGATTGCACTGTCTCCCACTAGTGAATGTGCTACCCATTCCGTGTGGAAAGATGTGTCAGTGATGTGAGTCATCACTATCAAAACACCTTCTCTTTGTTAGTCAAGAGTGGAAATATAGAAGGTGTTTTGTCTCATCTCCGCCTCACGTCCCACTCCACAACCCCCTACATGCACCAACTCTTAGGAAACGTCAATCACTTAGTCATAGTAATGGTGCTCCTCATTGTCTGACACAAGAACGCAGGCATTGCTGTTGTGATGGGTGTCAATTGGCGCAACACTGTCACCGTAGCAGAAGTTCACCACTTTCCAGTCATCACTGTCACCACCGGTAATGACACTGTTGCCTGTCATCGAAGCCTACTGAATGGGTGTCTCTAATTAACCTGCAATTTACTAATCTAATTTTGCTCTCTGGGGCCACCGCAACGCCGCCTTGGAAGCATATTCCCGTTATCGTTGTCCTTGTTGTTGGCTGCAACATCCGAACTGCCTTCCACGGTTGTTGTGTTTCCGGCCAACAAGCGCTCAGATGGTGGAACGCTTGCCTCTCCTCGACACTGCAGATTTCACAACTAAGTCGCCACACACGATTGGGACCCAATGAGTGGGTTCAAGGCATGCCAGTGTTGGTCAAAATGCCTCCGAATGAAATGGTTTTTGGTGCAATTGGTGTGGCCTGTGATTGGATGTGACCACACCGTTGGATTCGGTAGGGCAGACTCGCCGACTCCACTCCCGGAATGCACTGTAGGCATCCTTCCGCATGACAGATTAGCATGCAAATGCAGAAGAACAGAGAGAGGAGTCATATCGAGGTCACTAAGTTAACCTTCGTTGGGTGGGGAATGTGTAGGTGGACGAGTGACCTTCGTTCGCTCGCATCCAACACCACCTTCCACCGCCTTCCACGTCGCCAAACACGAGCGTTGGACAACCGTGTCTCATCACACTCCACCCAACCAACAAAGCATTTCTATGCAAACATTGGAGAAAAATAAAACACATTTTCGGACACATGACGCCTTTCACTAGTCGTTCGGTATCCGTCCAATGTCAAATTCCATTTGTGGTAGGTGCTAACGCACTGTTCGGCGACTCATTGTAATCATGACCGCAAGGTGACATCGGCATGTTAATCTGTCCGACGGAAGCCCACAATTCGCCTTCCTCGTCAATGCACGTGTTCTGTGCATTCACGCCTCGTGACGTCACAAACCTACGGCCTCGTAGATGAGACCGACTCGGACCACGTGAGCAGTGACCGCGCGATCGTTCAGATCACTTCCTCCATCTTTCATACCCTTTCTCGACTGCACTTGACAGGCATCACTGAGCCAACTTGTCCAATTCTCTCCTCCCAAACGATTCGCATAACCCCGCCTGCTGCACATTTGCAGCCCAACTGGCACATGCGACAGTGGGGGTCAAGTTCTTACCGCAGCCGACCATCTCCTTCCCCATCAACTGATGCCTTCACAGTGTCTGTGCTGGCATCACACATGCAACACCAGATTCCACCATCGGTAAGCACCAATCCTTATTGACAGCACCTCCACTGAAACTGCCTCCCCAATGGCCTGCCCTCTCCGCATCAACAGCGGCAATGTTTTCCCACCTCCTCACTATCGGTTGCTCAAATAACGCTACATCGGCAGCAACGACTCGTTGTGTACACGGTTGCTAAGTGCCCACATAAACACATTCCTACTCAACGCAGCATTAATGTAGCATAAACTAGGAAGGACTCCGGAAATGGTTGTACTGACTACATTGAGGTGAGAAGACATCCGCACCTGCCGTGCACATGAGGAGGCACACAAGTGGTGGAGAGCTGATGCACGAGGCTAGTGGGTCGCGTCGTTACACGTCCTACCGAAGAAGACGCTCCACTCACCCACCGTCAGGGCGTCATGCTCACCTTCCTACTGCATACACACTAACCGCCTCCACCTCCACACCTCTCCAATTAACGTACCTACGATCACCACGACTAAAGCAGATCCTTTCGCCTTCACCCACTAAGGCTGTTGGGGTGAGGTGACAGCTGCGTAACCCACAGTCCTCCACTTCTGCAGCATCACCGTGCGACCGTGAGGCTTCATCACATCCACGCTGATCGTCCATTTGTGCTTGATATGACGTCACCTATGTGGACACGCAACGCGGCCTCCTATCGATAATCGTTAATCAATGCGAGCACAGCTTTGCCACAACCACAGTTGTCAAATAAGAAGTCTTGCTGTAACAAAGCAATGGCGGAATGAGTAAGTGCGCCTTTGTGACGTGCACTTCTGTGAGTCAAAGCACACTGTGGACGAGGAGAGCAACCAGTCTCTCGTTTGGCCCACACAACCGCCTTCGTGTAAATTGCGTTGATAGCACTTCTTGTTTATGTGATTCAAGCATCGCCTCCACTTATTTCGTTTCGGGTGGCCGTGTTACGGTACTGCGACAACAAAGCACTCACCTTCCTGCAATCAAACACTCTCCAAATGGGCCGCATCCCAACCCATACAACAAGAGGAAATCATCCTGACTCCCATTGTCAAGACCCTCTCTCTGCACTGTACCCACCCCTCAACACCACCCACTTATGCAGTCTCAAATGGCTCTCGACTACTGGTGTAAAACAGTTCCTCCCCATTTCGCGTCTTTGTGAACGAGGTCTCGTTAGCCTTGATCGATTACGACTTCACACAATCTTCATCAGTGCTCCAGGCTACCTTCTGTGCGCGAAGAAGACTACCAAACTAGCAATGATCGTCATCTAGGCGCCTCCCATCTCACCAACAGACCGGCTCTTCTACAGGGCATTCACTGCCACCGCTTGGCTCGCAAGACGCTACCTCTGGCGCAATGTGATTGGTAGCCTGTTTTTACTCCTTTCTGCTAACGCAACATGCATGCATGCGCGCATGCGCTTCCGTAAGGCCCACTTGCCCGCTGATGAGTCACACACACACACGGATTTGGCGTGGGCGAGCGAATCACTTGCCAAACTATGCATGCGGTAGCACGTGCGCACAACTCTAATCGATGGACCATACACTGATACGCATGTGGTCGCACTCACGCACCCACGCACCAATGCAACCATGCACGCACGCATGCGTGCATGCATACACGCATGCATCTCAACAGTGGGCACGCCCGTCCGGCCAAAACCGTCACAGCCACCACACAACACAATCGATTGGCCTCGTGCAACGTTGACCTTGGATTGGTTGCCTCAGCGGCTGTGTAATAACTGATGCAAGGAGGCGGAGAATGCGCGCGATGAGCCATGCTATGCCCTCAGAAGGTTGCCTCCTCCCTCTCCTTAGTCATGAGGCGTAGCCGTGCTCACAATGCCTCTGGTCGTGCCAATTCAATACACTAGCGCACTCACCGTACACGAATTCAACCTTCTTCTTACTCAACAAATGTACAAACATATTTTGCTATCTGGCTCAACGATGTCTGCTGAGCTTATTATGATTCAGTGGCATACTTAGGAAGGGTCTCAAAAATTTGCATGTGAAGA